CATGCATGCATGTATGTATGTATGTATGTATGGTATGCACGCCTGTATGTATGTATGTATGTATGTATGCATGCATGCATGCATGCATGCATGCATGCATGTATGTATGTATGTATGTATGTTGGTTGGTTGTATGTATGCAAGCATGCATGCATGCATGCATGCATGCATGCATGCATGCATGCATGCATGCATGGATGGATGGATGGATGGATGGGTGGATGTATGTATGTATGTATGTATGCATGCATGCATGCATGTATGTATGTATGTATGTATGTATGTATGTATGTATGTGTGCATGTGTGTGTGTGTGTTCGTGCGAAAGTGTATGTTGATTGAACCCTAACTGGTGCTGATGAAAACAATGGAGGGTTCGAGCAGTGCTGGCAAAACTCGCAAAATGCAATGGTGATAGCAGCGGAAACCGCACAAATTACCAGCTATTCGGTGCTTGCCAGTTCTGATTTTTTTTTGAAGTTCCCAACAACAGGAACAATACTCCGCAGTATACAAGGTAGCAAGTCGCCATGACCATGGGAAACCTATTGCTGCAATCCTGGAAATGCGCCCTAGAGAGCCCAAACATCTTAGGTTTCTGGCTCAAGGCTTCAGTGCAGCGATTTAGGGTGCAGAAAATACCTGAAGGTATCCTGGCCCAACCATGCTAAGCTGTCTTGCAACCCCCTCCCACAGCCTCAGCCACAGGGCCTGGCAAGACGACTGCAGCACTGCCACAGCTACTGCTGCAGGAGTTGCTGCAGGAGTTGCTGCAGCTGCTGCAGCTGCTGCTGCCACTGCTGCTGCTGCTGCTGCTGGCGCTCGAATCTTCCTGCCGACATAAGGAGGCATCGGGCACCACCACTGCTAGAACTGGGAAGTCCAATGTGGACGATGGTTAGGGAGCTATGTACATACAGCCGAGGAGAGAAAGGACACGTCATGCTGCAGTTCTACCCGGTTGATCTTGAAAGCCCTCGCTGCTCGAACACGACCGGACGCTATGTACCTAGAACTGTCATGCGAAACCTTTGGATATGTGTGTGTGTGTGTAACTGAGTATAGATGTAGATATGTAGTATATGTAGTATAGGCAGTGTGTATATATAAGAGAGAGAGAGAGAAGGAGGGAAAGAAAGAGAGAGAGAGAAAGAGAGAGAGAGAGAGGGAGGGAAAGAAAGAGAGAGAGAGAGAGAGAGAGAAAAAAAAAAAGAAAACTAAAAACTAATGCAGCAAGCCTTGCCTTCTTTCTGCTTGTTCGTCGTGCTTTGGGCTTGCTGCTGCCTGCGCAGATGGTTTGGGACTTCAGGCTCAGAGGTGCTGTGAAGGTTGTGGAAGTGCACGTCAAGTGTTCCGTACATAACGGCTTGCAGATTCCATGGCCATGGGAGTTTTGGGAGGCATCTGGTCAAGAAAAGAAAGCCAGTGATATCGTGCAGAAAATAGCGTTTATGGCGATGATGGTGAGGATGTTGATGACACTGACAATGACACTGCCGTTACAAGGGTGCTGCAAATGAAGCTGGTGATTGTGATGATGATGATGACGATGACGATGTTGATGATGATCCTGATGTGATGATGATGATGATGATGATGATGACGGCGATGACGGCGGTGATGATAGTGATGATGGTGATGACGATAGAAATGATCATAGAATGGACGGCTAGGCTAACCATGACGGATGAGGATGAGGATCAGGACGAGGGCTCGGGCGAGGATGAGGATGAAGATTGCGAGGAATCTGACGACGACGATGATTATGATGATGATGATGATGACGACGAGGATTGTTATTGTGATGATGACGAGGGTGAAGGTAATGATGATGATGACGATGATGAGGAGGAGGATCGGGATGATGATGATGATGATGAGCTTGATGGTGATGATGGTGATGGTGATGATGACGATGATGACGATGATGACGATGATCATCATCATGGCGACGATATTGAGTTCTGAATAGTTCTGTGTTTCTGGTGAAGGTGAAGGTCATGATGGTCACGATAGCACCGAAGTGTGCCTCGCGGTGCGTTGAGAGAGTGCCAATAACCCCGATGGCTTTGCCATGGCTTGTCCAGCCAGTTAGGATCCAGTTAGGGATACGCTCGCCCACGTTTCAGAAGGCACTGACACCAACTGTACCGTCAACCGCTCACTATGAATCACAGCAGGTTCGGTGGCGAGGAGCAGCAGCAATAATAGTCGCAGTTGCCCTCGTCGTTGCGTCACAGACGCTGGCGCTGCTTCGGTCGAAAGATTAGCAGGCTGCTAGCGGATTGCATCGAACTCACATCAGGGGGTTGGGGGGGAGGGGGGGGGCGGAATGTAGACAGACTATGACAGACTTGTGCTATATGCACCTACATGGCAGAAAGCACCACAATCCGAAATCAATTGCGATGCCACCCTCTTCAGCCCCCTCGATGAGCCTGCAAGCTTCGTGGCTCTCGTCTGCTTCTTCGCCTTCTTCTGCCTCCTCTCCTCCTTCAACATCTTCTTGAACGTCTTGAACTTTTGTCTCTCCTTATACTGCTCGAACTTCTTCAGGAGCTTCTTCTCATCCGCAGTCGTGTGCTGCGTTGTGGGAAGATTTGGGCTCTTCGTCCTCTTCCCCTTGCAACGTCCGTGTCAGGGCCCGAAAATCATACGAAGCCGTTGAGGGTTCGGGGTTCAAAGTAAGGAGGCAGCACAAAACCCTAAACCCGAAACTAAACCCAAAACCCTAAACCCTAAACCCCCCATGCCTGTGCGGCGGGCTGCTTCGTGAGGGCCGACCTCGTGGTGTTCTTACCCATAGGCTCCTTAGTAGTTCCCTTTTGGGATTACCTTGTAGGATCTTAAATATGAACCACAAAAAGGACCTACTTAGGAGCCTATGGGTAGTTCTTAAACCCGGAACCCGAGCTCTAAAACCCCTCAAATGCTTTCAAAAGGGTCCCTACATCCTAATAACCCCAAATGCCTTGAACAGGTTGAGAACTTTGGGCTTTGGGATCTCGAGGAGAACAGATCCGCTTTTTTTGTTGGGTGGTGCTCGCTGCAACATCGCAATCCTTCGCGGGATCCTACCATTGATATGTGGGGCCCTAAACCCTAAACCCCAAACCCTCTCTTCTTTCCCTGAAGCTCCTATCTCTGTCCGGTGAGCTAACGCCTTCTCCACGTGGTTGGAGGTTCTGTTCTTCATGTGTACACGGTTTGGGGTTTAGGGTTTAGGGTTTAGGGACTAGGGTTTAGGGTTTAGGGCTTAGATGATGGAAGCAGCATCGAAGAACCGAAGCGGAAAGTTGTAAACCCGACACGGAACCTGTTCCATGCTCATCAGACGCTCGCGATACGCGCAACCTGCACAGTCACTTAGCATCACGGGCACCAGCTTGTCATCAACACCCAACCACACAGAAACAGCTAGCCCTAGCAATCCCTGTCATTTCCGAAAACGTAAAGAACGAGAACAACAAGGACGATGGCATTAAGTCCCAACGACGCCACCAACAGCAACCACCGCTATCAAGGAAGCGAGAACACCAGAGACTGAAGGAGATGTTACATAGGGTTTAGGGTTTAGGGCCAAAGCTCGTCCACGTCTTGGACCCGGAGGCTGTGGAGTTGGGGGGGGGGAGGGTCGCGTTTCTGCCTTCGGGCTCCGGAAACATTCAAACGCTGGCAAAACTTCTGCCCCACATCCTCCGCTCAAAAGGGAAATTCATAAGACGGACCCTGCCAAGGAGCTTGTCCTTCCGCTTCTCCTGAACACAGGCTGAAGCTCTAAACTCCGAAATCCGAAGTCCTCCATCCTACACCCGAAGTCCTCAAATCCTACACCCTGAATCCTAAACCTTGAGTCCTAAATCCTGAACCCTCGAACCTCAAAGCGTTTCAGGCCCAGCCCCGGCTCGAGGCTCTTGCCTCGAACTCTTAGGGCCTTTGATTTGGGTTTAGGGTTGAGGGTTGCGGGTGTAGGGTTGAGGGTTGAGGGTTTAGGGTTTAGGGTTTAGGGTTGAGGGTGTAGGGTTGAGGGTTGAGGGTGTAGGGTCTAGGGTTTAGGGAGTTGATGGCCTTTGGGCTGACGTTTGGGAGTTCCTGCAAGCCAAGGTTCCCCCATTGAAAACAAACCCGTCAAGATAAAGACGACCCCCAGCGGGGCACAAAAATCCAGAAGAGGCGTCCATGACCCGGGTTTTAGGGTTTTGGGTTTTGGGTTTAGGGCTGACCCAGGTTTGGGGTTTAGGCGTTGTTTGTTTTAGGGCTTTGAAGGCTTAGTCTTAGGGTTTGGCAGCACTCAAACGTCTAGACTGGACAGGAGATGATGACAGGTGACTCTCTGCCGCATACCACGGAACACGGTGTATTCACTCGACTGGGCGCGGCCGCAAGACCGACACATGCAGAACCCTCTGCTGCTGGTAGGGCTAAGGTGATTTGCCGAAGAGCTTTCCCAGCACCAATGTCACCCTACACCGCGGGCCCTGAACCCTAAATCCAGCACCGGAAAACCTCGCACTTCAATCCTGCACCCAAAACCCCTCGTCCCCAAGATCCCAAGAAACTCTGTGAGCCTGGAAGACATTCGGACGCCTGCCTCCCTTTTCGAGGCGCACAAGGCTCTCGTCGCCTTGCCTGCAACAGCGATCTTTCCCCCCATAAATCCTTTCATTAGTTAATGATACTAGTAAATCCAAGAAAGATACTACTTCTAACAATAATATGAAGCAGAACAAAAAAAGTACTGGCAATAAGACACACATATATATATAATTCATGATAACAATGAGCTCTCAATCCCAAACCCTAAACCCAGAAACCTTAAGCTCGAAATCCTGCAAACCACAAAGACCCAAAGCCCATCAACCCGCGATCCCAACACCGACATCCCCAAGGTCCCGAGGCCAAAAATGTATGTACCCTCCAGAACCCAAAACCCTGAATGCAAAGCTTATAAATCCTTCACACAAGATCCCCCAATATCCTACAGACCGAACCCCAAGACCAAGAACCCCAGCAAATCCAAACTCCCAAACCCGAAACCCATAATCCCAGAAAAACCCTGACGGAAACACTGAAAATGTCCAAATCCCCTGAGATCCTGAAAGCAAAACCCCCATCCCCGATTTGCTTTGGTTGCACCGTGCACAAAACGTTCAAAGCCATTGATAAAAGACAACTAAAGAACACAGGACATCGCCCAAGCAAGTCGGTTGACAACATGAACTGCGGGAACTTTTGGAAGTCGCAGAAACAAGTGGCTGCCCGCGCGATAGTCCCAACTCCGCTAAAAACACAAAACCCCGAAAACCCAAAACCCAAAATCCCATACCCCGAAAATCCGAAAACACAAACCCAGCCAAAACGCTGCAGTCCAAACCCTGAACCCGAGAGCAACCTCACAGAAACCCTTACAATACCCACCCCTTCGAGGAACCTTAAAAAAATGGGGAGCCCCAAACCCTAAACCCGGAACCTCCAAGCCCTAAACCCTAAACCCTAAACCCTAAACCCTAAACCCTATAAGCCCTATAAGCCCTAAACCCCCAAACCGCAAAAAGGCCCTCGGCCTGCAGAAAGTCAGCCGCTGTGAGCCCGGGAGCAGTCGGAAGCCACTGTCCTTCAGGGTTTAGGGCTTATAGGGTTTATAGGGTTTGGGGGTTATAGGGTTTATAGGGATTATAGGGTTTAGAGGGTTTGGGGTTTTATAGGGTTGGGGGGTTATAGGGTTTATAGGGTTTTATAGGGCTTATAGGGTTTATAGGGTTTGGGGTCTATAGGGTTTGGGGGTTTAGGGTTTAGGGTTTAGGGTTTAGGGTTAGGGGTTTGGGGTTTAGGGGTTTTGGGCTCAGGGTTTAGGGTTTATAGGGCTTAGGGTTTAG